GAGGGAGGGAGGGAGGGAGGGAGGAAGGAAATGAGAAAACCTAACTAGAGGAGTTTGGAGAATTTGTGGGTTGCTGAGCACATCCAGGTGCTGGGAGGGTAGTACAACCGGGGAGGACATGGAGGCTCTGTGCCCTCCCACCCCATACCTTGCCCTATGCATCTCTTCCATATCACTGTGCCTAAGTTGTGTCCTTTTATAACAAATCAGTGTTAAAAAAATTCAACTGAGTAAATTTAAAAAAATATTTTTTTTATTAAACTTTATGCCCAACATGGGACTTAAATTCACAACTCTGATATCAAGAGTCGCATGCTCCACTGCTTGAGCCAGCTGGGCCCCCCTCAACTGAGTAAATATAAAGATCTAGAGGTGCCGGGTGACTCAGCCAGTTAAGCCTCTGCCTTTGGCTCACGTCATGATCCTGGGGTACTGGAATCCAGTCCCATATTGGCCTCCCTGCTCAGCAAGGAGTCTGCTTCTCCCTCTCCCTCTGCTCCCCTCTGTGCTTGTGCTTTCTCTGTCAAATAAGTAAATAAAATCTTAAAAAAAAAAATCTCCTAGGCGTTATATGATAATTTTTGAATCACGGAGCATCCCATTTAGCAAATACAAGTGAGCTCCAAGGAGTCGTACAAAAACAGGAAGGTTTTTTAGGCCGGAGGACAGTGGGACAGGAAGCTAAAAGAGGATGATTTCAGGTAAGGTTACTTTCCCATAGGTGAAGCCCCAGGGTCTCAAGCAGATTACCTCACTGACCAGGAAGTTCCAAAGACAACAACTGCAGTTAAGTATTAAGTCTTGGTGGGGTTTTAGCAAAAGTAACTCCATTTTAGATCTTGTGTTTCTTTTTAACACCAGTAATATAGTAAACTGTCTTCCTGGGTTCTATGAGCCATTTTAGCAAGTTACAGAACCTGAGGAGGGGGTTATGGGAACCTTCAATTTGTAGCCAGTTGGCAGAAGCACAGGTGACAACCTGGACTTGATTTTCTCCTGTTAATTTGTCCTGTCAGTTTGATTCTTTGTCCACCTAGAAGGTCAGAGGAAATTCTTCCTCCCTAACATAATCTTTGGGAGACCCAAAAAGAGAACCTCTCAGTCTTTCACCCTAGCATCCAGAATCCAGTATATGTCTTTTGCAAGGGCAGAGCACTCCCCATGGTGTCATGGGAGACTGAACCTATCACTGCATGAGCAACATCATCCAACAGAATTTTCTGTGATGATGTAAACGTCTTGGTGCTGTCCAGTATGACAGCCACTAGACATACGTGGCTATAGAGCACTTCAAATACAGCCAGTTGTATCTAAGAAACTTTTTCTTTTTTTTCTAATTTAAATTTGTTGTAAAAAACAAAAACAGAGACACAGGCCCAAAATGGTTTCACTTAGACCAAATTCCAAACCCAAGCCTTAATATCTATTCTAGTTGCTGTTTCATCCTCTCCCAGAAATGTAGTCTTACTGGGTTAAGAAAGAATTTTTCCATTAATCCCAAGGAATCTGTCACATGGGCCCTCTCCCTCCCCCAAAAGAAGATAAGACCCCTTACCTTCCCTACTGTGGCACAGTGGCCAGATTAGTGCTTTTGCTAATAGCTTTCTTGCTCACCCCCTTTCTGTAGAAGCCTTCCATTTCATAAATCTCCTGGCATTCCCCTCTATTTGCTTGATCAGATGCTGCCTGATTGATGAATTGTTTATTAAAGGCAATTGGACCTTCAACATTTAACTAGGTTAAATTTTGTTTTCTAACAAACCTAAGTAGCCACATGTAATTAGTGACTATCATGTCGGACAGAACTACTTTAGAACTATTCCACTCAGTTCCCATGTTTAATCTAAGTCTCATGTCTTGTTAATAGTTCATTCAAAAGGCAGTGACACTCATTCGAAACTGAAGAATGCTCTATCCCTGCCAGGCCTGAGGTATCAGGTTACCAGCTCCACCCACTTCTAGAATATTTAATGTGACTTACAGGTACAGAAAAGAGGGTTTGTCAAAATTCATTTCCATCAATAAAGATCATATTAATACTTTAATCATCCATAAAATCACACATGATGGCAGTAGAAGGAAAATCTATTCTTTTGTACTTAATGTGTCTTGTCTTAAAGATAAGGAGAAAGAAATTACCTTACATTTCTTTCTCCTCAGAGGCCTGCCAAGAGCAGGCACTGAGAGCCTTCTCCACTCTATAATTCTAGCAGATCCAGCCCAATCCTAAATTATCCCAGCTCTGGGGACACCTTAAAGGACCTATTAACTTTGGTTATAAAAGGATTTTCCATACATACACGTTTCCTACTTCTGAGCGACCTCTTTTGTAAAGAATGGTTTAGCACATAGAAACATAATACACCACCTCCTGAGATGAAGTCTAGAGAGATACAACCAGTTCCAGTCAGGTCATCCTTGCTGCAAAAAATTCTACATCTTACAGGTTTTCAGTAAAGGGAGAGATTTTGTTGCCCTATCTTGGAATGATGTAGCCCAGAATTTCCTATATGGTACAATTCAGAATACAGCTCCCCAAGCCCTTGACACTTAGCATATTAGTTTATAGGTCACTGTTCACAGTATTAGTTTATAGGTCACTGTTCACACGCCTGCCTCCTAGCTAGACTTTTTATCCGTGTAGTCATCCAATAAGTAGACCCATGTATCTACTCTGAGCCACATCTACCACTCTGAGTCACCCTGTAGGTGCTGGCATCAGAGCAGAGAACAAAACAGACAACCCCATGTGAACCTTAAGTTCTAGTGGAGGGAAACTGATAATAAATGAGTAAACAAAAAGTCACAATAATTTCAGATGGTGATCAGTGTTACGAAGAAAATACAATAGAATGGTGTGATAGAGTGACTGGAGGTCTCTTTTAGACCCTGCGGTCAGGAGAGGCCTCAGAAGGGGGGAGGTCTGACCTGAGCTCAGAATCTAAAGTTGCCAGTTCTGCAAAGGGACAAATAGCCTTGGGTGGCAGCAGATGGTATTCTTAGAGCCTAACATAATGCTTGGCTTTGAACAAATTAATAATAATAATAAATTTTAGCTTAAATGTACTGTTCATTAGAATTATCTTGGTTAATCCTCACAACAAGACAGAAGTCAGGGAAAGAAAATTAAGAGACACTAAGTAACTTACCCAGGGGCATGTGGTGGGTATGTGGCAAAACCAAGATTACCCTTAAGCCAGACTTCTGACTCTAGAAACTATGCTTCTGATTAACCAATGAGTCTCACTGAGCTCCAGCATCTGAAGGGCTTCCTAAAAATACAGTTTTTAGCATCAAGCCAAACCAACTAATTTAGAATCTGAGAGGTTAAGGATTAGAAGCCTGAATTTTTAACAAGGCCTTCAGATGACTTTTATGCACACTAAAGTTTAGAATCACTGTGCTCTGTTGAAAGAATAAAATGAGACAAATCCTCTATTTGTACCGCTTTGCCCCACATCTTGCAAATTGCTAGGCCCCTAAACTCTATAAATGCCCATTCTCTTAAACTTTGAGCTCTTAGAGTGGTAATCAGAGCAATTTAACACTTACAAAACAGAAGAAATCTCAGAATCTAAGACCTGCAAGAGGGTTAACCAAAAACACTTTGACAAACCCTTCCCCACGAGGATTCTCCCACCCACCCTTCACCACAGTTTGGTTTCAACCTAAGCAAGGGGATGACCTGAACCCCAACAACTCCAGGGATGTTAGGACTTGTTTACCACTTCAGGTAAGTTCTGGAGCCAGCCTCAACATTTGGCTCCACTGCTGAGCAAGCCTGAAGTACACTCAGGACCTAAGAGATAAGCCAGACGCCCCACACTCCATTCCAGCAACTTAAAGCAGCTAGGGCTTATAGTTCAGGGCCATTGATCCTCCAAATTTGGAAGCAGGAATCCTCCAAACAGGGACAGCTAGGATCGAGTCCATTATTTCCTGGGAACTAGGTTGGGAAATCTCAGAGCAGAGGAACTGCATCTTGACATCTGTCGCTAAGGTTTAGGGTTGCCTGATAAAATTTCAGATGCCCACTTATGTCCCAAATATTGCACGGGATGTGCTTATTCTTTTTTTTTAATTTACTTTTAATAAGTATTTATTTATTTGACAGAGATCACAAGTAGGCAGAGAAGCAGGCAGAGAGAGAGAAGGAAGCAGGCTCCCTGCTGAGCAGAGAGCCCGATGCGGGGGCTGGATCCCAGGACCCTGAGATCAAGACCTGAGCGGAAGGCAGAGGCTTTAACCCACTGAGCCACCCAGGCGCCCCGGGAAGTGCTTATTCTTAAAAAAAAAGGTGAAGTTCAACTTCAACTTTAGGCATCCTGTTTTTTATTTGCAAAACCTGACAATTTACTTGTCAGGCCCCCAGCCCCTTTGTAAGAAACATTCAACCAGTAGTATAGTTTCCACAAGCAACTTAAACATCACATTACGAGAAACTCCAGGAGGAGGCTATCAGAGGGGAGGGAGCTCTACGGGGAAGCCCAAACAGTGTTTGTGAGCGTGCAGGGGTAGTGGGGTCACTTTTTAACTATGACAGACTGGAGGGCTGAAGAAGGTCCTGTGAGAGACCCAGCTCTCTCAGCACTGCCCGTCTCCCTCACTGTCCCCCCAAACCTGTGAGCAGGATTACCGTCCTATTCCGTGAGCCCCCAGAGCCCCCTCGGTGGGCAGGCGCAACGGGGCTGGACTACCAGCCAGGTTCAGAGCCCGCCTCCGCCCCCCGGCCCTGGCCACGCCCCACTTTGTTATCCGACCCTTTTCTGGGTCAGCTGGTGCTGGCGTCAGGCGGAGGGATGGGCTGGATCAGCTCGACCCGGCAGGGCTTGTTTACTATGGCTGATGATCTGGAGCAACAGTGAGTTAATCCTGTGTCTTTCTCTTCCTCTCTCTCTCTCTGGGCCATGATCCCGGGACTGTCGGTGACTGAGGAACAGTTGTAGACACCTTCCCGCCTTTCCTTTTTCAGGTCGGCTTCATGGGAGGGCCGGGGTTTGCGTTTGCTTGCTTTGCTTTTGCCCAGAAGAGGAGGCAGCAGAGCTCGGGGAGCGATGGTAGATAAGCTTGCCTACAGCTGAGTGACTCTGACTTGCCACGGTAGTCTTCGCGATCGCTCCTCGCTCCTCTGGTCGCGGTACAGAGGGGATAGACTTAGTGGTGATGGCCCGGATCCCCCGAGGCAGCTCGTGGGATGCGGGCGCGGGGGTAGCAGTCAGCAGTCCAGTCTGCTCGTCGAGATTCCCCCCAGGACTGTGGTGGGGGCCGGGGGAGGAGCGGGGAAGGGCCTCTCCTAGCCGGGCAGGGAGAGGACATGGGAAGAAGAAAAGGCTCCCGCGCTGGGATTGTCTGGAGTAATGGGCACGCAAGTTTCTTCGGCTCTCCACCGCTGAGACACTTAGCCAACCGCTTGCGATCCTCGTTGATAACGTTTTTAATCACAAGATCCTTAACGCCGTGGTTTCAGAATTACAGTTTTTGGGATTTGTTTTCACTCTCTCAAGGGCATCAGGTTTGGGATGCCACCTGTAGGTGGTGTGACTAGCAGTTCGCAGTCTGATAGAAACAAGGAAAAGTTGCTTCCAGAAGAATGACTCAGCTCCCAGCCAAGCCTAGGTTTCACCAGAACAGGGCCTTTCCTGGATCCTGTGTTCCTGCTCCTCAGAGCTGCAGAACTAGCAGCTTGCAGCACTAATTAACTTTATGGCCATAATAGCTTCCTGGGCTTAAAGGAACTGCTTAGGAAGAGTTTTGCTTTCTAAAGATGACCTTCCCAAACGGAAATTTACAATGGCTACAATGACTTAGGGAAACACAGCTTAGAGCTGGTAGAGATGCAAGTAGCTCAGCTCCTTTTTACATGTGAAGAAGTCGGTGCCCATGAAAGTTAGAGCAGATTGCCCAAGTCACAGAGGTCCAGAACAGGCTTCTGACCCAACACAGAACCCCTTCTGCCTCACCCACCACCGGGATAAAAGCCCTCTAGAGGGAAGAGACCACTCTGGCCAGGCTAAGTTCATGGCTGAGTGGCTTCTCTGCCTCTTGCCTCAATTTCCCACCCTAGCCCTCACCTCTCCAACAGTACTGGGGAGGTAACAATGCGGCAGGGACTATTTCCAGTGCTTTAGCTGTAACATTTTTGGTGAAGAGAGGAAACTAAAGCTCCTCCCTGAAGAATATCTGCTGAGCAGCCCGTGATACTATTGGCATCGGACATCTCGCCTCAGCACTCCTTTGGGCAGGTACAAGGCAAGGTAGGGTCCACATGTCATGGTCTGACTTGTCACAGCCTCTGATATAGGGAGAAAGTTCATCTCTTAAGACTGGCAAAATTCTGCAGTTTTGGTGCCCATGCTTCGAGTCTATGATAAGGAATTCCAGTAGAGTACTTCATGGGTTGAGTATCTTCATGGAATTGGATTGATTGCTACTGACAGCTCTCGTCTGGCTGAAGTCACAGAGACACCACTCTTAGCCGCAACCTCAGGATTTCTTGCAGTCGTTGACGAGTTGAATGGATGTAGGCAACTTATGACTTTGGGGGAAAAGAACATTTGATGGGAGCTTCTCTTATGTTAGGCTTCATTCTTTGTGTTTCAGGGGCATAAACTCATTTAATCTTTATAAAGACCCTATGAAGTAGATACTGTTAACCCCCTTTCTCTTAAAGATAAGAACACAGAGGCTAAGTAATGTGCCCAGAGCCACAATGCTGGTAAGTGGCAGTGTCAGGATTAGAACTCTGGTCTTCTGATTTATTTCACACTTCCTTTCAGAAAACAGAGCGTGAAAGTGTGGTCATATACCATGGGTTTGAAAAGCTGAGCCTGGGGGCCCTGGCTGGCTCAGTAGAGCATGTGACTCTTTTTTTTTTTTTTTTTTTTTTTTTTATTTGAGAGAAAAAGCATGAGCAGGAGGGAGGGGCAGAGGGAAAGGGAGAAGCAGACTCCCTGATGAGCAGGGAGCCCACCTGGGATTCAGTCCCAGGACCCTGAGATCATGACCTGAGCTCATGGCAGACATTTAGCCAACTAAGCTACTCAGGTACCCAGGCATGTGACTTTTGATCACAGGGTTGTGAGTTTGAGCCCCATGCTGAGTGTAGATATTACCTAAAAATAAGTAAATCAATAAATAAACTTTTAAAATAATTCTCCTTTGAAAAAGAAAAAAAGAAAAAGCTGAGGCTAGAACTTCCAGAGGAACGGTACAGAGAAACCTGGATTTGAGATGTGGGCTCTAGCTCTGCTTCTTTTTCTAACTAGCCACTTAGCCACCTTAGGCCTCAGTTTCCTTATCTGAGAAATAAAGAGGCTGGACCAGATGACTCCTAAGGAGCCATCCTAATCTAAAATCCTGTGCTTCAAATGATGTATCGGGATGTCCAGTGTGTGGCAAGAGGGATCGGTAATGGTTCCTCTCATTCCCCCACAGAACACCCGGCCTGACTATGTTCACAGACCCTTCCCATAGCTGGTGGTATCCATTCTGTAATCCCCTTTATTCAGGCAGAGTTCAAGAAAAGAGAAATATCACATATGATGGACAAAGAATAATAAACTCATTTAGCACCAAATTTGTCCCAGACACCTTCTGACCTGCCTTACATATCTAGATGCTCGAAGACCAGTTACGGTTATTTATCACACCAAAGCCATTCTGCTTGTAAATGACCATAGTGTGATGCGGAACCAGAGGGTTCCCCCCACCAAAAAAACCCTGGTGATTTCAAACTCTGCCCTGAAACCTTAAATTTTCTTGGGAATAAAAAAAGACGACAGAATGGATTATCATCATTTTACTGTGTGCCATTGGAGGTGAGGACATATGTGAACTTTTTACACATTTTGTAATCTGGAAAACAAGATCAGAGGCAACCTGGCAAGGCAGTCCCAACAGAATTTGAACCCAGGTCTCCTGCCTCCGGCTCCCTTCCTGTCCCATCTTGTTGTTACAGGCTGGACTGATTGACTGCCTGAGAGCCCAGCTGGGTACTGACCCCACTGTACTTCCAGGGGCTTGGAAGAGGGCACGCACAAACCCCAAGGCCCTGCCAGGAGGGCAAGTGGCATGGGAATTTGTCCTACCCTAAAGGAACATACGGTCCTGGGCATGGCAAAAGATAAAGATAACGGAAACATTAGTTAATAGTTGGCTTTTTTTTCCCCCTTGTGATCTTGAACATTATGATAACCCGTAACAAAGGGGAGTTATAAAGCCCAAATGAGATAATACACGTGAAAGAGCTTTGCGAACTGTAAAGTGGGATTCACATGGTGCCCTGAGTATCTGTTGAAACAAAGGGCATGTTGTTAATTGCCATTTGCTGGGGAAAAGGAGTCTATCAGACAGCAGGGAATTGCTGACTGCCAAAGAGCTGGTCTCCTAAGCCTGGGGAACACCCTGATAAGTCCTGTAACTGTCAGCAAGGCTGGGAGCATCAGTGTTGCCAGTGGGTATCACTGTGTTTCTTTGTCCCAGGCCTCAGGGCTGGCTGAGCAGCTGGCTGCCTGCTTGGCGCCCCACTTCCATGTCTCAGCTGAAGAATGTGGAAGCCAGGATCCTCCAGTGTAAGTAGAAGGGATGGCTGATCCCACCTCCATCAGGAGGCCCAAGGAGGATACAGGATCTCCCCAGAGGCTCCTACACTGAGCCCACTGCTTCCTGACTATCAGCGCTTGGGGTGGAAGGAAAGGATGTCAGTGATCTGAGAGAAGATATTTGCATGGGGGACACCATATTGTACGATACTGTTTCTCGACAGCTCCTGCCCTATCCATCATGCTAATTCCTGACACATCTCACAACTTCACTTCAAACCCAATACCAGCTATGTCCACAAAACACACACACACACACACACACACACACACCCCACTACGCATTCTCCTTCTCTCCTTCTCCTCTGTTCCTCCCTGCTTCCTATTCTCCATCTTCTTCCAAACACATAAGCACTTCTCAGATTTACCACCTTCCCACCTAAGGCCCAGCAGCAGTCCTGTATTCTCTAATATGACCTTGCTTGTGTACCATTCAGTTAGGCCCACCACTTAATCTGGCTGCTACGGTGACTTGGGATTCCCACGGGCCAACTCTCCTGGGCAGTATTATGTTGGGGCAGGGCATCCCATGATTGGCAGCAGCCACAGGCTCAAACAAGACCCTGGGGCCAGGTCTGCCCATATCTCCCTTATGATCCTCCCTGCCCCGGACCCAGTGCCCCAGCCGTGGATACCCTCTCTTCCTATGAGCCTGCGTGAGCACAGCTGCAGAACAGCCACAGCTTTCAAGCCTCCTCCCGGGGTCCAGGCAGCTTCCCCCAAGCTGCGCGGTCACGTAACTGTTATCATGCCCGCAGAGCAGCCACTGCCCACTGACTGTCTCTGAGAGGAATAAGCCTATGGCTCGTCCATACCCATCTCCCCCTCTACCTGCCTCAGCTCCAGTCAGAAGCTATCCCCGCAGACACCCCCAGGGAGGATGCTTCTGTCCCTCTGTTGAGCCCCAAGCACATACAGGTACGAGAGTAATGGATACAGGAGCTCTATGAGGTCAATGGGGTCACTCCCATACTGGGCCTGAAAGGGGCCAGACACACAATCTGGAGGAGTAAGATGGCTCCTCTAATTTCCTAGAGACTAGATAGCCTACAAATCACACTTGGAGTTGATCTCTTGGGGCATGTGGTCAGAGGGTTGTGAAAGGAAGGAGGTGAGGACGGTTGGGACAGGTTTGGCAATGGAGAGAGGAAGCTGAAGGACACATGACAGTGCTGTCAGAAAACAGTCTTCTTGCTCTGCCCTGCGTTCCCCTCTCTCCAGGCCTCCAGAACAAGTTCCTGGCCCGATATGTGTCCCTCCCAAACCAGAACAAGATCTGGACAGTCACCGTGAGCCCGGAGCTGAGGGATCGCACCCCCCTGGTGATGGTGCACGGCTTCGGGGGTGGCGTGGGCCTCTGGATCCTCAACATGGATTCACTGAGTGCCCGCCGCACTCTGCACACCTTTGATCTGCTTGGCTTTGGGCGAAGCTCGAGGCCAACGTTCCCCAGGGACCCCGAAGGGGCCGAGGACGAGTTTGTGACATCCATAGAGACATGGCGGGAGACCATGGGGATCCCCAGTATGATCCTCCTGGGGCATAGTTTGGGAGGATTCCTGGCCACCTCTTACTCTATCAAGTACCCTGAAAGGTAAGGAGTCACCCCTCTTGCTCATGACCTAATTCCCACCGGCAACCTGACAATATTAGTTCCCAATGGTTCTCCTCTTCCTGGGCAAGTTAAGGGCTATGGTTCTTCCAAGCCCATACAACTTGCCTTTTACTTTTTCTTCCTTTAGAGTTAAACACCTCATCCTGGTGGACCCATGGGGCTTTCCTCTTCGACCAACTGACCCCAGTGAGATCCGTGCACCCCCAACCTGGTTCAAGGCTGTGGTGTCTGTCCTAGGGCGTTCCAATCCCCTGGCTGTTCTTCGAGTAGCTGGGCCTTGGGGTGAGTAGCCTGCAGATAAAGAAACTTTCTCCTTACACCAAGGCTGTTCCATTCTAGAAGCCCCACTCTGTCTAGACTCCCACCGTGCCCTCTTGTCCATGAGAACTAGGAATAGGCCTAGCATTGTTATTTAAAGCTCTAAATCTGGACCAGATCTCTTTGTCTACAGTTTCAGAAGGTTCTTTTTTCCTTCATCCACATGCAAAAAGCTTTCCTATGTAGGGGACAGATGGAATAGAACTAGGCAGAACTGTGTCTTGGCTAGACCCCCAGAGAGAGAGAACAGGGCCATGAAGGGACTCTTCCTCTGCTGAGGTCTTAGAGTACATGTATGAGTTTATGGCAACCTGTTGGTGACTCACCATGGTACCCGCCCCTATCAGATCTCGTCTCTGCAGCTCACCCAGAACCTGCAGGAGCCAGAGCTCCCAGCATAACCCAGAGTGCTAGGCAAGCCCCTCTAAACCGTGCCTACTCCAGTTCTGTGGGTGAGGAAAGGGAAGGAAGTTGGGGGGAGCCAGCCAGAGTAAGTAAAATTAGGAGGTCTTGGCCTTCTGACCTCATACTGCCAGCACTCCTCCTTTCCGGGGGTCAGGGGAGGGGTACTTTTTAATCTGATGAAGTAGAAAGCAGATTCCCTCTATAGAAAAGATAGGTGACCTCCTATCCTGTAATGATGGCTTTTGTATACATAGTGATGTATATGTAATGTAGCCAGTTACTGCAACTTAATTACCAATGGCTGCATAAGAGTATCTCTCAAGGCCCTTCAAGAGAAACAGAGTAACTCTGGAAAAAGAGGAAAAATGGATTTGAGGAGAAGGTAGGAGTTTGGGAAGAAAGGAAAGTTATTGAGACACACAGGTGCCAAAGAAGAATGATCAGAGAGCTGACCTTCCTAGCACTGCACACTCCAGCCAACCCTCTGTAGTCCTTTTCCAGGGAGCAGCCCTGCTCTAAGCGTTCTCCCCTTCTCAGGACTTGCATCAGGCCCGATTCATGCATGGGCCTCAGAGCCAGGATGGTTGAGCAGCTGGCTGGCAGCCACGGAGGAAGGCCAGGGCCCAGGGGATCCCAGCTATGCCTCCCTCTCACACCTCAGTCCTCATGCATGGAGAGAAGACCAGGAGAGAGATCAGAAGTTGACCATTAGGCCCAATTACTAGTCCATTGTGGGTACCCTCCTGCTTGTATGTGTGCTAGAAAGGAAGGTGAAGGGAACAGATTGCTCTAAAACCGCAGCCCAAGTCTGAGATGCTGGAGTTCATGTCTCCACTCGCATTCTATTACAGGCCTGCACTTGAGAGGACTCTGGGCAGGTAGTCGAGCTTCTTCTGTCACCTTCAGAAGAGTAAAAGGCCCTAAGGGTCTCAGAGTGCCCGGCTGACTCAGTCGCTAGAGCATGCAACTTTTTTTTCTTTTTTAAGATATTATTTATTCATTTGAGGGAGAGGGGAGCACAAGGCAGAGGGAGAACCATACTCCCCACTGAGCAGGGAGCCTGATGTGGGGCTCCATCCCAGGACCCTGGGATCATGACCTGAGCTGAAGGCAGACGCTTAACCAACTGAACCACCTAGGCGCCCTGAGCATGCAACTCTCGATCTTGGGATTGTGAGTTCAAACCCCACATCAGAGATATAGAGATTACCTTTAAAAAAAAAAAAAATGCCTAAGGGTCCTAAGGGTCTCAGGGAGAGGCAACATAGCTCAAACTCTTTAAAAAAAAAAAAAAGGCATCTCGGCCATGAGCTCTTTTCTTTTTCTTTTTCTTTTTTTTTTAAGATTTTATTTATTTGAGAAAGAGAGTATGTGCGGTTGGGGGAAGAGGAGAGCGGGACACAAGCATTCCCACTGAGCACAGAGCCCAACGTGGGCTAGTCCCACAAACCCAAGATCGGGACCCAAGCCAAAATCTAGAGTCAAAAATTAGACATCCAGCTGACCGAGCCACCAAGGCACCGCTCAGCCAGGGCCTCTTACAGGGCTTGAGATCCTCAGAGGAAAAGAACTTGGAACTTGATGGAGCTGAGACTAAGCTGGTTCCATTGGGCTGTTTGCGGTCTTTGGTAACCAGCTGACTGACTCCCTTGCAGTCCTCTGGGGCTCCAGATAGCTCACACAGTCTGTACGCCACTATAAAGTTAAATGTACAGAGCACACAAACCCGTAGAGAAATAACATTTGGTGTAAGTTGTTCGAACATGCACATGCAGAGGGGCGGTCTTCCCGCACCACCACCACCCCTGTCCCCCAGACTGGCCACTCCCATGTTTTTCTCTCCCCTTCCAGGGCCTGGCCTGGTTCAGCGATTCCGGCCGGACTTCAAGCGCAAGTTTGCAGACTTCTTTGAGGATGATACTATATCTGAGTATATCTACCACTGCAATGCTCAGAATCCCAGGTGAGGGGCCTCCCAGAGCCAGCTCAGAGTGGACGGGTGTGGAGATGAAACTCCAGCTGCTGGCTACACTCCAGAACTGTCCCAGGACCATTCTCTGCGGCATTTCTTCTTGCACAAAGCTCTCATTCAATTAGGGAAACACGGGCGCTTGCAGGCTCCATTATTTCCAGAGACCTCCCCGGGGAGAGGCACAAAGGGATGGAGAAGATAATAGATTGCTTAATCATGCTGCCCATCTCTAAAGGAAGACTCTTAACTCTTCCCTGGAGATAGGCAGTTAGCCTGGCAGGGAAGAGTCTGGAAAACATTTTAAAAGTTTGGTTTGTTTGTTTGTTTTAATTGAAAAAGTGAAATGAATATGGTATTTTTTTAAAAGTCAGGAAAAAAAAAGTCTTCTCCATTGCAGCCTGAAGTTCCACAAATTCTGTTGCTATTTCCAGTCTGAGATACTATGTGACACTGCTTCAGAGAACCTCTTTGTGTATCTTCCTTCACACACATACGTGACTATATCTAAAATACCTTCCTACAAATAGAACCGCAGATGGAAAGAGTGTGCATCTTAAAATTTCATTATGTGCACCTTGAAATACTCACTATTGGGATAGGAATTCCTTCCATACCCTTTTGGATATTGGGAGGTGTCCCCAAATCTGGAGAAGTTTCAGTCTTTGTTCACACAGCAGGCCCCACAAGCCCGCTGATCTGCAGTCTTGGCAGCTGAGAGGCAGGGAGGTCGTCTTCTACCCCAGGCAGTGCCCTGTGAGCGGCTGACTCGGGAGGCTGTGTTGGTGGCACTCCTCTGGAAGCCTCACCCAGCCTGCTGGGAGGCGTCTGGGGGAAGTCAAGGTCACTGGAGCAGCAGCCCTACCCCGCCTCATTCCAGGCCTGGCCAGGTCACCCGTGGTGAGCCCAAAGCTGTGAAGACAGTGGGGGTTGCATTGCAGCAGGTGCTGTCTGAGCACTAGCTTCAAACCCAGCAGGCTTTGGGGCAGCGTGGGAACTGTGTCCCCAGCATCCCGCAGGAGCTCAGCTAATTGAAGTGTCCCGCTTCAGCAGCGGCATTGAGACTCCGCTCAGCAGTCGAATCAGGTAGCCCCTGCTTCCTGCTCTCGACCCCTGTCTCAGCCCCCACTGGGCCCAGTGCCAGTCTTCCTACCCACTCAAGGCCCAACCCCAGCTCCCTGCTCAGAACTTCCCCAGTCCCAGACCTAGTTGTGTGGAATGAATGGCCTCCTGATGTCAGCCTCAGAATGTATAATCGTGCAACTCCTTCGGGTCCTGGGGGAAGCAGAGATGACATCAGCGGTCATCAGGCCTCTCCCCACAATGCCATCACTCAATTTTATAACCGCCCGAGTGTTTGTGAGTTGTAACCCTGGCATGCTCATGGTAACTCTTACCCATTCCTTGGAAAGCATGAAATCCAGCCAGAGAAAAATATTTGGAGTTACCTACTTGGCTTCACCTCACCTTAGGGGCCTTGTGCATATTTTCATTTTCCTCAGTGAATAAATAAAGAGGATATAATTCTCTAATTTGTAGATAAAAAAATTAAAGTGTATTCTGGTTACCTGGCTTGCTAAGAAAACAGGTAGGATTTGAATTCACATCTCTCCGACTCCAAAGTCCATAATTCTCCAGCATGCTGCTATGTCCTATAGAGGAACTCTGTTTTTTATGGTCTGTGCAAAACTTAAGCTCACCTTCATCCCAGGGTATGATACAGGAGGCTGGGAGACAATATCCAAACAGGCTGGGCCTGGAAGGCAGCCGTCTCCCGAACCTCCCGTCCCTCCTGCCTCCCACAAAAACTGCAGAGCAGCCCAGAAGGTCGGCTTTCGTCTCAGCCTTGCAGATCCCTCCTGCTGCTTCTCAGTCAGCGCTGCCTAAGGAAGTGGCCAGGGAGCAAAGTAGATTAGATCAGCCCCGCTTCCCCCCCTGGGTCCTCTGGAGACCAGTGTTCCATTCCAGAATCTTGTCAGGAAGCCCTTGGCACTGCTCGTGTTTGCTCCTCACAGTGCCCCTCACGTGAGCCCCTCTCCTCTCTCTTCCACCCCTAGCAAGCTAAGCCCCCTTTGTCCGTTCACCATCCTTTCATAATTCTTGAGAAATATGAAGTTAAATAACCATATCATTAGCTATTTATTTATTAAAAGATGTATTTATTTGAGACAGAAATAGCATGAGTGGGAAGGGCAGAGGGAGAGGGAAAGAATCTCAAGCAGACTCTGCCCTGGAACAGGGAGCCCAACGTAGGGCTCGACCCCAGGACCCTGAGATCACGACCTGAGCTGAAACCAAGAGTCAGACACCCAACTGACTGAGCTCCCTGGGTGCCCCTTTATTTGCTTATTTTTAATGATTAGCTACGTAATGCCTACCTCCCCAAAGCATGAGAGAGTTGTGAGCACCGGCAGGGCCGGCACCACCTCTGTCTGACTCGGATGTCCCCATTCTCCACCCAGGGCACGACATGGGAATATCTGTTGAGTAAATGTGAACCCATTGCATCTTTGGACAGTTGTCAGCGTCAGTTTTCCCAAGTGCGTCCCTAGCTGTCTCCTGCGCTGGGAGCTCTCCGCAGCTTGGGACCCGTCTCCTCATCCCAATATTTCCTGAGCCAGATGCAGGGTCCCGGGAGGAGTACACACATGCCGGGGGTCCGTACCCCCGTCCCCAGCCTCCGAAGAGCCCGCACATGGGCACCAGACGCGGCGGGGTTTACTCTCGGCGTGGCCTCACTGTGTTTTGCTCCTTCAGCGGGGAGACGGCGTTCAAAGCCATGATGGAGTCCTTCGGCTGGGCGCGGCGCCCCATGTTGGAGCGGATTCACTTGATTCGCAAAGATGTGCCCATCACCATGATCTACGGGGCCAACACCTGGATAGATACCAGCACAGGGAAGAAAGTAAAGATGCAGCGGCCGGATTCCTACGTCCGAGACATGGTATGTTTGTTGGCCAGCCAAGGAGCAGGACTGAGGTAGAAGTGTGCGGTGATTGCTGGCACACAGCAAGGAACTCTGGGTCTAGAAGAGCCTCGGGATGGGGACGGGGGAGCCAAGAGTCAGGGGCAAGAGGAGCAGGTGGGTTCAGATTGCACAGTGGATTTGGAAGGGTTGACTCTGTGATACTATGATTAGGGGGTTCTCCCTTCTGTGGCGTCCGGTTCAGCTGAATGACAGGTTCTTGTTCAGTATTACCACACTGGACCCCCTGGACCACCCCAAAACCAGTGCCATGAACAGTAGAGCAGGTGGTAGAGGCTGCCTTCATGAAGCCTTCCCTTTTTCTTGCCCCTCTCGCCCCTCATTGCTAAGGAGTGTGCTTAATGAGGCTGGGGGCCACCTACGGCCCTAGTGTACCAGACTCGTGGATGAAATGGGATGGCAGTGGGGCCGCGTTGAAGGAGGTACAGTGAACAGTCAGAGGAGAACCAAAATGGGATGCTGGGATTCGTTGACCCCCACAGGAAAGTGCTGAAATTCTAGGAGAAAGGTGGAATGTTATTTCTGATAAGTGCTCCCAGGTGATGGGCAAGCAGGTCTACAGGAGAAAGAAATGGTGTGCCAGCTGCCCAGTGCTCGGAATAAAGGGCCTTCCCATCTGTGTTGGGCTCCTTCTCTCCCCACAGGAGATTGAGGGTGCTTCGCACCACGTCTATGCGGACCAGCCACACATCTTCAATTCCGTGGTGGAAGAGATCTGTGACTCAGTTGACTGAGCTGCTGCCCCTGGAGGAAGAGGAGAAAGCCAGAGAGCCGCTCTCGCCTCCCTGTCCGCTTACTCGTCCCTGTGTCCTTTCCTCACCAACTAACATGTGCCATCCAGGCAGTCTTGGGCTGTCCCCAGGGCAGGACCACAGTGAAAAAGAGCACTCCCGAACCCACACGAAGGGTTGGAGGCTGAAGCCGCACGAGGCCTTGAGCACCCCACCCCGGGGAAGAACATAAAGGGTTGCATAGTGCCACCCATTCTCTCCATGCCAAGTGTTACCCAGATGGTGGTTGTGACAGGATCGCACTGAGCCACATTCCCTCCCCGTGCCAAAGGTGGGGGGGGGGGGCGGCCTCTTCCCCTGGGTGAGGGAGAGGCTCCTGGCAGCCTTTCCCAGCTCTGGAGTGTTTGTGGGGATAGGTTCCAAGCAAAAGCATCCTCCTCCATCACCCCAGCCTCCATTCCATGCCAGTTTTGTCCAGAGTCTGGTTGGGAGCTAACTACCAACTAACTACTAACTTCTTAACTACCAAGAGCAGGTCTCAGAGCGCCCTTGACCTGTGAGGTCCCTCCCACGACCTAAGAAGTCCTGTCCAAAGCGCTCATTAACGGATGAGGAACAGGCCAGGGCAGGACATGGCTGGCCCATGGTGATACAGCTCTGCTCCGGGAGAGCTAAGGCTCGAACCCAGGTCTGCTGACACCCAGTACTCATTGCAGACTCCATTTTGCTAAAGTTCAAGGCAGACACCATTGCCATGAGGCTGGTCCTAGTCACTGGCCGAGGGTAAGCCCATCCCTGTCCCACTTTCTAGCCCCATTGTGCAGGCGTGCTGTTGTCCGGCCGTGTGTCTCGGCCCTGGCTGCCTAAGCGGGGGACACTCAAGTGCTTCCTTCCCTGCCCCCTCATCCTCCCAACTGGGAGGCCTCTTGGCCTCCCTCTGTGCCTTGGGCCCTAAAGCCCCACCTGTAGGATAGAGCAAAGATGGCCCCTGGTGGAGAGATAAGGGAAAGGCCCTTTAACCCCAGGGCTGTGTCTGGATTCCTTGTTCCCACTAGTATCCATGGAGTTTTTCTACCCTGCCCATGGTCTGATGGAGAGCCTCAAGCCAGCAGTTCCCTGTCCTCATCAGCCACAGGATGGTTCTCACTGCCTGGCCCTCTATCCCTGCCATCTGTCCCATGGTCTTCAGCTCCTCCCACCCCCAACCTACCAGTCACTGTCTCCCGGGGGCTGGTTCCGGGTGCTGCTCTGAGGTTCTGGGCCGTGGGCTGGGCCTGGCCCCAGAACCAGGGCAGCGTCTGTCTGCCCCTTGAGTTTTGTAAAGCCGACCCTTTCACCAGAATAGTATTAACTCCTGGTGCTTTGTACTACTGGTCCAGCTGCCTTGGGCTCCTTTTCTATATTAATAAAGAAATGAGTAAAAACTGGAGGCAGTGATGTTTGAAGCTCTGACAAGAGTGATGGGTGGTGCCTGAGTCAGAGAAGGGGGCCAGAGAGCTACCTGCTTCCACGCCACCCCCTCCTGTTTTTTTTTTTCCCCAAGATTTTATTTATTTATTTGGCAGATAGAGATCACAAGTAGGCAGAGAGAGAGGAGGAAGAAGGCTCCCCACTGAGCAGAGAGCCTGATGCAGGGCTCGATCCCAGGACCCTGAGATCATGACCTGAGCCGAAGGCAGAGGCTTAACAACTGAGCCACCCAAGCGCCCCTGAAAGTTCCATTTTCTGCTTACTCCAGAACCACTTCTCTTTGGCAACCTGCATAACATGCTGACCTGATTTTCTTGAACCCAACACAACGCAGACACATTCCTCAGGACCACAAGCAAGAAGAGTCTGAGAAAGGGCCCCCACAGTACCCTGTTTACATTCCCAGGCCCAAACACACGTATGCACGTACACACACACACACACCACACACACACATTCCATCTGACTGGGTCATTCCTAATGTTCTCAGGGCTGGGACTAAGAAATCACTATGACTCTCCCACTTGTCTACACCTTTCCTGGTGGGTTCTAAGGATTTGGGGTACTGTTCATTCTATAACTTGGGTTGCTGAAAGGCCTAGCAGTCTGCAAGGAGAGATTCCACAAACAGACATAGAGGACTGAGAAACCCAAGACTGGGGAGGTCCTGCCCTATTCAGTGGCTAGCAGGGAATGTGCTAAATTTATCTTCCTTCTTGGGACAGACAACAAAATATGCGTGCTAAAAATGCAGTCTGGTTTCATTGCCAAAAACATGGTGAAATCTTGGTGAATACATCCATCTGCTCTGACTATCACACGGTCAACCCATGAGTGCAGGTGCATGCAGTTCAGGACCAGAAAGAAAGTAACCCCACTGGCTGATAGCAAGCACAGGTTGCCATGAGCAGGAGAAACGTCACTCCTCTCATCATGTGACCTTCCAATTCGTACAGGGTCCTCCTGGATAGGGTCTGGAAAGTCCTTTTTCTCCTTATCCCTCCCTTCTCTGCCTTCCCCCCAAAGTCTTCATCTATCTTGCAGAAGCAAGCCAGACATGAGATTTTTGAGGGTCAGAACTGAAGCCCATCCGGATGAAATAGCTCAAAACAAACCATCTTTTCTCTTGTGAATGTCGACTATTCTTCATAGCATAAATTCAGCATTACTATGCTAGAAAAGTCTTTGTCTTTATCCTACTAAATATCACTCTTCAGGACAGTTGAGAAGAAAAGACAATCCCATCCTGACATTTCCACGGGAATAATGCGTCCTTCGGTAGAGTACCCAGGAGGATTGAGTTTCATTGATACCAACAGAGGCACACAGCCCTCCCTCCAACCCAGAAGGACGAGACCCCATCCTCTTAGTTGGTAACTCTGTAAGAGGATAGGAGGCCAGCCCTGGCCTTGTGAATGATTAAGTTCCTTCCCCAAGTGTACTCTGAGGCCTGAGATAGAGCTTGTTGTAATTTGGCAACCTCGTATTTTAATTGAGCCATCTGAGAACAAATTACACAAGCAAAAGAAACCTGGGACATGCTAGTTACTACAAAGGACTCTGAAGGACTTGTGGTTGTGGTGATATTTTCAACTACCCAATTCGAAGAGTGACTGGAAAAGAAAGAGCATGAGGCTGGACAACCTGACAACTAAGGCTAATGTCACAGAGCAGGATTGGGGGGACTGCTTGTGGCCTGTGACAGAAGATTTATGGGCCTCTGATAAATGACAAGGGAACTAACACAAAGCCTGGGCATCATAGACCTCCTAAAATTTTGGAGGAAAGGGAAAAGCGTCCAAAGAGAACTGCAAAACCATATATTCTAGCTATGGTTTCCCACATGGGTCTGTGGACTGGAGCTGGTCCATGACAAAGGATTTCAGGTCTACAGTGAAATAACACTTTTTTTCAATATTACTAAATTTTGAAATTAAGTCCTTTCTAGCCTTTTCAGGATGAAATTATTGTTCTTCTATGAAAAGATGATGATATTCTAAGATTGCGTGGGGGTGGGAGGAACTGTCATTTCTTGTTGCCAAACACATTAATTTGGGGGATTTTTCTCCCCGAAATTTTAATTAATTTTAGTAAGATCCTGAAGTCTGGGAAGTGCTATATTATAGAAGACCAGAATGGGGGGCGCCTGGGTGGCTCAGTGGGTTAAAGCCTCTGCCTTCGGCTCAGGTCATCATCTCAGGGTCCTGGGATCCAGCCCCGCATCTGGCTGTCTGCTCAGTGGGGAGCCTGCTTCCCTTCCTCTCTCTGCCTACTTGTGATCTCTGCCTGTCAAATAAATAAATAAAATCTTAAAAAAAAAAGAAGAAGAAGAAGAAGAAGACCAGAATGGGAATTTGAATTTTATCACAAGAAAATAAATAGATTATAAGGAGCTTGTGACTGGTGGATGACCCAGGAAAGATAACAGGGCTCAGAGGAAGTAGATCTAATTACAGTTTTCAACAGTAGTGTATATGTCAAAAAGGAAATCACAAACCTTCCAAAAAGAAGCATTTGGCTGCGGATAAAAGAAGAAGCAAACAGGAAATAAAACCTGGTAGGAGTACAGAATAGATGTTAAAATAAACAGAGGACATGGGCAATGCTTTTTTAATTCAGATGGTAAATGTGATCTAAGGCAGGATACAGCTGTGCCAGAGGTCACAAGCATCAGGACATCAGCTCTTTTTGCTAGAAGCAGAGCACCTAGTACATTTTTGCCCTGCTAACAATTTCACTTGCTAGAATGTTGAAGGAAGATGGCCAGATGCAATTTTTACGGATTTTGAGAAGTCGGATCTTAAAATGTTCCAAGGAAAATTACCTAAGGGGCCCAAAAGGGACAGCAAGTTCTCAAATGTGAAGTTCTAGTAGTTTTCTCCCAAAGGATCCTGCTGAGGAAGGAAGGAGAGCTTCACCAATCAGGAAGCAGCTGCACACTCTGTCTTCTGATGTGATCAAACTGTGGGCAGAGATGAAGGTCACATCTCCTACATTAAAAAATGAACCAAACAAGCAAAGCAAGGACAGTTTGTATGAAAACATTCAACTAAAATGAAGGTTTTAGTGAGCTGGGCACTCTGTTTGAAGCAGTAAAGAATGAAGCTGCCAAGAACCCTAACATAATGGGAGGTAAATGAGACCTGCATTCGTGGGGGAGACTCAGTTAGGAAACCTCATTACTCCCTGATCTGAGTGGAGATTCAACTCCAAGAACATTTTGCCTTTTTTATGAAAACAAAACATTTTCATTGTTAAATAAATAAATAAATAAATAAATAAATAATACTTTTTAAAAAAACCATCCAATGCTTGCTTCGGCAGCACACATACCAAAATTGGAACAATACAGAGAAGATTAGTATGGCTCCTGGACAAGGATGATAATGCAAATTTGTGAAGCAATCCATATTTTTAAAAGAATTAATTAATTAAAAGCCATCCATAATTATACTATGCAGAAATAACCACATAAACATTTTGGAATATATATATTATATACACACACACACACACACACACACACACATACATATATGTCCCTAAATATTTTATCTTTGTGTATAGGATAAAAAATATGAATAAGCAGGGGCACCTGGGTGGCTTAGTGGGTTAAGCCTCTTGCCTTCAGCTCAGGTCATGATCCCAGGGTTCTGCGATCGAGCCCCGCATCAGGCTCTCTGCTCAGCGGGGAACCTGCTTCCTCCTCTCTCTCTGCCTGCTTCTCTGCCTACTTGTGATCTCTGTCTGTCAAATAAATAAATAAAATCTTAAAAAAATATATGAATAAGCAGTTCACAAAAGATATACAGATAGCCAATGAACATATGAAAAGATTTCAACATCTCTAGTAATACAGTAAATACAAAATAATAATGAGATACTATTTTTTACATGAATATTGTCAGAAGAATTTTAAGACTGACAGCATCTGGCAGCTGAGTGGCTCAGTCAGTTAAGCTTCTGCTTTTGGCTCAGGTCATGATCTGTGGGTCCTGGAATCAAGCCCTGCCGTGGGCTCCTTGCTGTGCAGGGTGTCTGATTCTCCCCCTGCCCCCCACCCCCTGCCGCTTGTGCTTGCTCTCTCTCTCTCACACTCTCTCTCCCTCTCAAATAAATAAATTAAATCTTTTTAAAATAATAAATAACTAAATAGATAAATAAAATGGCATACACCTTGAGCCATGAGTCCTAATAGTAGGAATTTATGCCAATAAATGTTAGCACCATTTAACAATCTCAGTGTCCACTGGCTATAAAAGTGACATATAAAATTATATTATATGGTTTTATAGGTACTGACATGGAAAGACATTTTAAAACATCAAGTAGTAAATAATTCATGTAACCCCATTCCATTTTTGTAAAATAAAAGCTACTTGTGTATGGATAAATAGATGTATGTCCTATAAGCACAAAATATATTTAACAATTTTTGCTGTTACAGAGTGGATGGAATTGGCTGGTGAGATTCCCATGTTTTACTTACACACTTCCGTCCAGGCTAAAATTTGGCAATGAGTGTGTGTTTTTACAATTAAAGACAAAAAAAGCTCTCCAGTCAAAGGTGATCCTAATTTTGATTTACATTCATGATGTCGGTTTCAGGGGTGAGCTCCCTCAGGCAGGAAGCAGGTCTGCTTGCCTGGCTTTATACATGGTCTAGCACAAATACGTACCTGGAGTTGACAAAGCATTATGGAAGCAAAGAGCACTGTGGGACTGGGCTCCCAGGGCCTGTTGTATTAAGACAAATGCCAAAAAAAAAAAAAAGGCTTAAGTCAATCAGAGAAAGACAATTATCATATGATCTCTCTGATACAAGGAATTTGAGAGGCAGGGCAGGGGGTAGTAGGGGGTAGGGAGGGAAAAAATGAAACAAGATGGAATCATGAGGGAGACAAACCATAAGAGACTCTTTTTTTTTTTTAAGATTTTATTTTTATTT